GAAAAGAACATGGAAACTATTGTAGTATATTGGGGGCATATAGGGGAATGGAAAAGAAGCTGGAAACTATTGTAGTATATTGGGGGCAAATAGGGGAATGGAAAAGAGAATGGAAACTATTGTAGTATATTGGGGGCATATAGGGGAATGGAAAAGAGAATGGAAACTATTGTAGTATATTGGGGGCATATAGGGGGAATGGAAAAGAAAATCGAAGCTAGTATGTTAGTTTGTGTTTAGGGTTCAGGGTTTAGGGTGGGTTTAGGGTGTAGGGCTTAGGGTAGGGAATGACAGCATGGAATAGAAACAGGAAACTATGGGGGATTATAGGGATTATATAGGGGTTGTATAGCGGAATAATCTTGGGAGAATGGAAAAGAAAATAGAAACTACTATAATATGATGGTGTAACTTCGGTCTAAGGATTCGTATCCTTGGTGCCGTGCGTGCCCCCCTGCAAAGAGAGATTGTTGGAAGTTCCATTTTTGTCCCAGGCATAACTTATTCAGCAGTTAGCCCCGCGCTCTCGGGAGGAAACCCTAATCCCATTTCCATGTCATGTTCCATTCGATTCTCAATTTTTTTGGGTGATGTCTCCTTGATAAGCCTATGTGATCCCTACACAACCTGTATGTATTAGTATTGCTACGTAAGCCTTACATGGTACCTTTAGGGGGAGCCTGGGTGCACCAGGATACCTACATAGGGGACGAGGCTCTGAGCAAGAAGGGCATCCTCACTCTCAAGGACTGCCATGTTAATTCACACGGTTTACGGCTTAGGGCTAAGAGTTTTTAGGGTTTAGGGTATAAGGTTTTTGGGGTTTAGGGCATCTTCCTGAAGATCTGGGGACACAGGGGTTTCTGTAATCCTCAACTTTGTGAGTCTCAGTATAGGGAGTTCCCAATTTATGAATCCATTCTGCGCGGGCTTCAGGGGTGTGAGGCTGCCAACATTACCTTCTCGGATCTGTGGGTGCTTCTCGAAATTTGAGCTCACCAAGTACGCGCCCAAAAAATGTTGTCCTGATTATGCGGTTGTCTAGGGACTGCAGCAAGGGCCCTAGCACCCTTGTCCAGTAACACCAAAAAGGTTTGTATAACCCTCTACTCACCATCCCTAGCAACTCGCTACATAGCCCCGACCTCAATTTCATCTCACTATTCTGATGATTTAGGCTCCTACTTTACGATGTCTTCCCAGAAGTCAAAGCTTTCGTCCTGGAACCCTTTACCCTTTCAGGCCTAACCCCAGGGCGTGGGTTGGACATTGGTTATTCTCAGGGCCTCTTTCGGGGTTGGAAGGGTTCTATAGAGATTGCCGAGGGATCATGGCTGTTGACAAATTATGTTTGAGTACCCTTCATCATGTGGGTTATCCTCCAAAATTCTGGGCCCCGTTGCGTTCAAGAGGATAGCACGGCACCCAATATGTAGGGTACCAAAGCGGGACTTAACTTCCGGAACTACCGCTGTGGCACCTACTGGATTTTACTAAATCCTGAATCCTCAACCCTGAACTTTGAATTCCAGCACTCTGAACCCCAAGCCAGGACCCCCAACCCTTAACCCTTCACTCTAAGCCTCTGAGCCCTGAAGCACCCCATCGAGCATGGCATCGTCACCAACTGGGACGACATGGAGCCTTGGCTGCATCGGATCTTCGCGACTAATACAAAACAGGCTTTCTTGGGATAGAGATCCCTCGAGGACAAAGAGAACATATTTTCAGAAACGCCCAGATCAACATGGAGTAAGCAGAGCTCTAGCGGCAAGGCATTTTTCAAGAAAGGGTATTGTGGCAGTGAAAAAAACCTGCAACTCATTCCAATGTCCATACTCTTTCGTCCCTCTGTCGACTTCTTCTGCTCCTCCTCCACCGTGACAGCTACCGCTGATGCTGTCAATTACTAGTAGCAGGACAGTGATAGTCATCATCCTCGTCGTCATCATTGTCATGGCAATTCGTGATGCCGAGATGTCTCAAGACAGGTGGTCCCTTCAAGATGTCATCTAGAAAGCCTTTGCACAAACCTTAGCAATCCCTAGGTGTTTCTATCAGCCCTGAATTCCCTGTCAATCCCCTCGGGATCCCTAAGAAATTCACAAGAGCACTCTCAAGCAGTGTCCCGAGCCTGAGCAGTGTGTTATGATCCTTCCGAAGCTTCAAGTTTGATAATGTTTGCAGTTGCGTTTGGCCCTGGTGAGCACTGCATAGGTACAATCATCACTCTTTCTGCAGCCCTCTGCAATCTCTATGTGAGCCCGCTCCTCATTTCAAAGGGCCCCCCAATGGAATCACACTTTGGGGGACCCTTATGTGTACTCCCTGAACTCTCCATAGAATCTTTAAACACCCTGAAGGAGACCTGGGCCACGGAAAGATCTGGCGAATACACTCTGAAGAGCTTCTAACTTTAATGCTCTATAACCTACCAGGGGTAGGTTTGAAAAAAAATAGAATTTTCACTACCCTCAATCCCTATATAATCCTTATAAAGCCATAAAGATTCAATTTGTATAGGGCCCCCCTAACCTAGCTAGCCCCTAGATGGTCCTTACAGAACCCTTCAAGAACATCCTGACTTCAGCCCGAGGAGAAGATCTGGCACCACAGTTTCTACAACGAGCTCCGTGTTCAACCTGAGGAACATCCTGTGCTTCTGACGGAAGCCCCTATGAATCCGAAGGCGGGGGGGGGGCTGTAGGGTTTAGGGCGTCGAGGGTTCAGGGTCCAGGGTTAACGGTTCAGGATGTTGGGGATTTGGGTGCTTAGGCTTGGGATATCGGGTAAGGGGTCTATAAACCCAGGGTTTAGGGCTTCGCGTACTTCGAAGCCCGATTAGTAGAGCAGGGGATAGAGAGCGAAAGCGCGGCTTCTGGGTGAGGCTATATAGGCTGCCGTGGCGGGCATAAGACGACGCGACCACAAGTTGGGATGACAGCAACTTTTGGATTATCAATCCCAACCCTTAACCCTAGACCCCTAAACCCTAAACCCTTAACACGAACCCCCTAAACCCTGAACCTTTAAGCCCAGACTGTCCGAGGAGACAAGATTTGCCGCAGCAATCCCTAGACATGAGAACTCCAACCCACGAGCGTGGTAGAAGCTTGAAGAAGGACCAACATGATTTCCATATATATATATAATATGGAATTTTCGATTACTGAAAGGTAGGTCTTGGAGGGGGCGTAGCATTCATATATCTATGTATACCCACTGCTCAGAAAGCTCTAGTTCAATATTGCCCCACATTTGCTTCTTCCAATCATTGGGCCCTGCAGTGAAGTGTTTGGATGAAGTCGGAGGCTAATCGGGAGCGCATGACGCAGATCATGTTCGAGACTTTCAATGCCCCTTGTATTGTCTCAACGTGTGCGAGGTTGCTTGAATCACTGTTTCGTAAGTGCTGGAAAGAGAGGAACCCCTTGATGCAGTAGGGCAAAACTACCTCAAAGCCACCCTATGCCCCAAATCCTTGAACAGCCAGCTGAGGTTCCAGCGATGTACGTGGAAATCCAGGCAGTGCTGTCGCTTTATGCCTCCGGCCGCACCACGGGCATCGTCATGGACTGACGCGTTGGCATTTGGGATTTGGGGTTTGGGATCTAAAGTTTCTGCCACGCGTTGAGGAGTTTAAGGTGTAGTGCGTTCTGCTACTCTGAAGCCCCAGCCAGCATGTGTGGTGTTGTACCTTACTGCAGGACAGCGGCGACGGCGTGTCGCACACAGTGCCTATCTACGAGGGCTTCGCACTTCCCCATGCTATCCTTCGCGTTGATTTGGCTGGCCGTGACCTGACGCACTACATGATGAAGATCATGACTGAGCGTGGTTACTGCTTTACTACTACAGCGGAGCGTGAAATTGTCAGAGACATAAAGGAGAAGCTCTGCTATGTTGCGTTGGACTTCAACAGCGACATGAAGGTGGCCAGTGAGAGCGGCGACAAAGAGACACTGGGCTAAGCCGGACACAGCTTACTTTATCTTTATCAGAGTTGTACAAGTGAGAGACGTAGTCTCCATGCATTTCAGTTTCTCATAATGATCCGGCCACAGGTCTTGGAAGAAAATCCTTGCTCACGAAAAGGACAAACCAAAGCTCATAGTCAAAGACTTCCTCGGGCATTTCTAGCCTTGCTACAGTATCAATGTTATGCAGAGTTGTGCTCGAAAAACAGCTAAGAATGACCTACGAGCTGCCCGACGGCAACATCATCACGCTGGGCTCGGAGCGATTCCGATGTCCGGAGGTCCTTTTCCAGCCCAGCCTTGTGGGCAAGGAAGCCAGCGGTATCCACTACACCACCTTCCAGTCCATCATGAAGTGCGATATGGACATCCGAAGGGACCTCTACACCAACATCGTGTTGTCCGGTGGCACCACCATGTTCCCAGGCATGGCCGAGCGCATGACGAAAGAACTGACGATACTCGCTCCCCCCACTGTGAGGATCAAGGTGGTAGCTCCCCTAGAGCGCAAGTACAGCGTATGGATTGGCGGTTCTATTCTGGGCTCCCTGGACACCTTCCAGCAGATGTGGATTTCCAAGGATGAATATGATGAGAGCGGCCCGAACATTGTACATCGTAAGTGCTTCTGAGAGCGTAGCCGCCTTTGGGGCGGTTGTACAGCAGCTCGACATGTTGAAGAGGGTTAAACCCTCATGTTCATGTCTGCGGCACATACGCCTGTTGCTTCGTCTGCCCAGGGTGCAACTGTTTCATGTGATCCCCAAAACAGTGGAGGGGTCGCGCCCTGGCCTTAGCTGTTTTGTTCTGCATTGTAGAATCCCCACTTTATGCAAGCTGCAGGCCGGCCCTGTACAGCAAGGGACTGCGGTCAGAACCGTCATTGATTCGCACGCTGGGTCCCGGGCGCTCAGCATACAGCAAAGGGAAGTGCCTGCAGATTTCTTGGATGAGAGGATGGGCAGAATCTTAGGCTCTTGATTAGCTTGTGCCAGTTGTCCCATGTGCATTCTTTGGGCCCAAAAAGTCTGGTACAGCCTGGTAGCCCATCTGCTCTCACCGAACGTTTCATCTCGCAGCCATGAGCGACGTGGAGGTTGCCGCGTTGGTGGTGGACAATGGCAGCGGCATGTGCAAGGCTGGATTTGCGGGTGACGACGCTCCGCGCGCGGTCTTTCCCTCCCTGGTGGGCCGTCCCAAGATGCCGGGAATCATGGTGGGCATGGACCAGAGGGACCGCTTTCTTTTGCATGCGTTTAAGCCTGTAGGCTTCAATGTACCATTATTATCATTATACCTGTGCCATTGCCAATCGCTTCGTTATTAATGTAGTAGTGTAGGAACACCCTGCGCACTACAGAAGAGGTCAGGTCAAGGCTTGAGCTTCGAGGTTCAGTTGAATCTGAAAAAAGACCCGTTTTCCGGTTTCGTGGTACCTTGTATTTCACTTTTTTCTCTGCCGTGGGCGAGTTTGGACATGGAGGCTTTGTAGTTAAAGTTGGCTGGACCTCAAAGCTCTGTGGCCGCAACCTCTTGCTTCAAGTTCAGGGACAAGTAGGGGGAATTCCATCCTACACCCTGAGCCCAGTGAACTGTTACAAGGTGTTCAAACATGATGTCATAAGTTGTAAAAAAGACAATCTGCTATGTAGCGTGCGTTTCGTTCGCTTCAACATTGGCAAGTGGGCAGTCTCCGAAACATCCGGGCTTTTTGTCCCAAGAAGCGAAGATCATAGAGACTACCAAGAACGCACCTTCACGTTCTGAGCACAATGAAGTGACATGAGATTCTTCTCCAGATTTACCACAAGAATCCGTTGCAGGTGCCCTCCATAATCCCTAGCTTCCCTACAATCTTTCCCGTAGGCAGCTTGTCCTTATATCTTAATTTCCTGCGTGGCGAAGGACACCTACATCGGTGATGAGGCGCAGTCCAAGCGTGGTATCCTCACCCTGAAGGACGGGTGAGCTGTCCTTTTAGGGTTCCTTGGGAAAATAGGGTTAATATATGACCGTATTGTAGGCATTTTGGTAGTAGAGAGGATAATTCTAGTACGGGTCCGTATGTTGGGTTAAAATGAACCAAGGGATACCACATGGTCCCTCAACTTTTTTTGAATTTAGCCTTGGGAGTTGGCACGCTGTTGCCATATAGCGGTGGGTTAATGGGCCGTTGCATTCAAAGAGGGGTCCGGGCAACCGCGATGAGCAATCTGCGCATGACTCTTCAGATGTTTTGCATTTAAGTCCTACGAAGCCATTGCCATGTTCTTGTTGGACACATTTTCAGGACTGCTCGTGATAGGGCCTTGAGGGGATTGCTTGAGGTAGGTGCAGCCCTGAAGTACCCAATCGAGCACGGCGTCGTCACGAACTGGGATGACATGGAACCTTGCCTGCACTCAGTATGCGCTCTGCGGCAGGGGCTTTGTATGGCACCCGCTTGTGTTTGTGTCTTTGACCTGGACACTTGTGCGGTCATCCCGCGTTCGGCGCCAGATTAGAGAGCCTGAGTAGCTCGTGCTTCCTTACGTGTTCCGCGCCTTAGGAAAAGATTTGGCACCATACCTTCTACAACGAGCTGCGGGTCTCTCCCGAGGAGCACCCCGTGCTGCTGACGGAAGCTCCCCTGAACCCCAAGGCCAACCGCGAGCGCATGACGCAGGTCATGTTCGAGACTTTCAACGCCCCTCGCCTTGGCGAGTTTGCAGCACACATGCTGCATATTGCTGCATTTTGCTGCATAAATGGCCTTCCCTTCGTGAAGGGAGCTTCCTGCTGCTCTGACTCAGGTCCCGGCCATGTATGTCGCCATCCAGGCGGTCTTGTCCCTTTACGCCTCCGGCCGAACCACGGGCATCGTCATGGACGGTTGTGGGGTTTTGGATGTAAGGGTTCGCGGGCTTAGGTGTTGGGGTTCCTTTGCTCCTCTGGCTGTCTGATCTGCAGGACAGCGGCGATGGTGTCTCGCACACGGTGCCCATCTACGAGGGCTACTCGCTGCCTCACGCCATCCTCCGACTGGATCTCGCAGGGCGCGATCTCACAGAGTACATGATGACAATCCTGACGGAGCGCGGATACTGCTTCTGGACCATTCTTGGGAAGTTTTGGCTGTGACTTTGGTGAGGTTGAGTTTAGTATTTCGTGTCCAGGAGCGATTCAGTTTTCCAAAAGTTGATCAAGGCTTCAGCACCACGGCTGAGCGTGAGATCGTTCGCGATGTCAAGGAGAAGCTGTGTTACATTGCACTGGACTTCGACAGCGAGATGAAAGCAGCAAGCGAGAGCAGTGACAAAGAGATGCTCAACTTGTCAAAGCAGCCTCTTGTTGAGGAAAGCTGTCACAATCCCAAACCATCCTTATAAGGATGCCAGCAAAACTATTACTCTGAAGAATAGTACGATTTGCCGGAGCCAACGTAGAGATGCGAAGACGAGATTAGATTTATCAAAAAGGAGAACACCTGTACAGCTGCACGCCTCTACCTCCCTACCTGCATGATAGGCCGTGAAACACCTAAACGCCTAAACCCTAAGCCCTTACAGCACCAGGGAAACGGGAAGCCTAGGAAGACCTACGAGCTCCCGGATGGGCGCATCATTGCGCTGGGCTCCGAGCGGTTCCGCTGCCCAGAGGCTATGGGGCTGTAGGGCTTACAGTCCACCTTAAGTAGATAGAACATGGTTTTGGGATGTTTCGGGTATACTATAATACGATCCCCATATACGCCATATTCTACTTAATCAAGGGAGACTATATCTTTAAGTTGGATCAATCTTAGGGATCCTCTATACTTTTTGAGGTATATATTCATGTACAAAGGATCCTTCTTTCTTCCTAGCCTACTCAATCCGTCGCTTGTCGCCCAAGCTGTCCGGCAGCACATTCTACCAAATCGTCGGAACTTCTCTGTCTATGTTTTGCTCCCCCGTGCACCTCGCCCACTGCAATTCCCCGACGACTTCCGAGCCAAGTTTCACCAGTAGATGTACTCCAATCTTTGCATTGCGACTACCAACCCACCCGGGGGGGTAGGTGGACACGACAGACCGAACCTTCTTTCTTCCTAGGATAAGGTGGGCTAAGTCAGGACTCGAGATGTATGGGGGATGTAAATCTGGGCATCTGTGTCAGGAATTCTGGGGTGGGGTGCAGACATGGGGTTTGCAGATGTAGGCAGGCCTTGTGGAGCCACGCCGTCAAGCGTTCACAGAGCGGGTTTGTAGGATTCCACGCAGATTACAGATCAGGAATTTTCCAATTGTTACTTGATCTTTAGAGTAGCGATTACACAGTGTATGGGTGGATTCATGGATGGATTGCACCACGGAAAGATAAGGCCGATTTTGTAGCATCAGGAAGCATATGTTGAACTCCTGTCTTGCGAGGTGAGCAAGATCCAGACAAAACACTTCATGAATATGGGGAGTAGGGCCCTATGTGCATACCCAAGGAAATGAGTACCATGTAGTGTGGAGGTTTCAAAAGGGGCTCATGACCTATGATTTTGGCAAAGCAAACGCAACAACTCCTACCACGGGCTGCATCTGCCTAGAGACACGAAATTCTTTCTCTTGGCAGGGTTCCAACAGAAGTAGGTCAATCATGCCTACCAATGTTTGTCTACGCTTCCCCTGGGCAGTATGTCAGGCATCTATTCGAATATTCTTACAGCTTGTGTTGAAAGACCTAATGCTGGCTGAGATCTTGACATCCGTGTCTCCTTGTGACTTCATGTTCTGTTGGGCTTGCTTGGAAGGCCCTCTTCCAGCCCAGCCTGCTGGGCAAGGAGGCCAGCGGTATCCACGACACCACCTTCCAGTCCATCATGAGGTGCGACGTGGACATCCGCAAGGACCTGTACACCAACGTGGTGCTGTCTGGTGGCAGCACCATGTTCCAGGGCATCGGCGAGCGTATGACCAAGGAGCTGACTGCACTGGCCCCTTCCACCCTCAAAATTAGGGTGGTGGTTCCTCCGGAGCGCAAGTACAGCGTGTGGATCGGAGGCTCCATCTTGTCCTCCCTGAGCACCTTCCAGCAGATGTGGATCTCCAAGAGCGAGTACGATGAGAGTGGCCCGACCATCGTGCACCGCAAGTGCTTCTGAGAGGTCGTAGCATTTGGGCAGTTGCACAGCCAAAGCTGGACCATGTTGAAGAGGGTCAAACCCTCATGTTCATGTCTCTGGCGCATAATTTGTGCTGCTGAAGCAATTCTACCAGGCTGCCACGATTTTGTGTGATCCTGTCAGCAAAAGACAGATCGCAGTCGGACTGACTTGTTCTGCGCCGCTGCAGCCTGCCTGTACAGAGAGGGACTGGCAGCAAATTTGTTGCAGATCAGCAGCCAGAAAAATGAACGTTGGTGGAGAACAGCCGGGAGGACAACCTTTCGGGCTCTTAGTCTGTGATGATGTGCTACGTGTCGTGCCTACTTTCTTTTGCCCGAGGAGTCTGGTACAGCCCCCCAAATCGCCCTTCTGCTCTCACCGCACGTTTCATCTCGCAGCCATGAGCGATGTGGAGGTTGCCGCGTTGGTGGTGGACAACGGCAGCGGTATGTGCAAGGCTGGATTCGCGGGCGACGACGCTCCGCGCGCGGTCTTTCCCTCCCTGGTGGGTCGTGCCAAGATGCCGGGCATCATGGTGGGCATGGACCAGAAGGATCCACTGCATCAACCGCTCTTTCAGTCTGTAGTTGTTTTGCCCGCAGCTGCTGCAATGTGTATTGAGTAGATGGGCTAGCCGAAATTGATGATTTTCTGTGTGCGTAGTCTTGCAGTCCATATCCCATCTGCTCAAAGTTCGAATGCGCAGGACACTTACATAGGCGATGAGGCCCAAGCCAAGCGCGGGGTGCTCACGCTGAAGGACAGTCGGCCTGTCCCCTCTCCAAATTCCAATTCTGTGCAAGCATTTCATTTTGATGTTGACCCCCGCAACCCCAACAAGAGTTGTTTCCAGACTGTGAGCTCAGAAATGTAAAGCCTACCCCAGACCAGTTGAACGAAGCTACCCCTGGAGTATCCCATCGAACACGGCATCGTCACCAACTGGGACGACATGGAGCCACAGCTGAAGTAGCTCCAAAGAGCATGCATATGTGCCATCAACATCAATCAACTGGAACCAGCTTTTTTTGGAGGTTTGGCAAGATGATGAGATAGTTCGTCCTGTTTAGGAGGTCTCCAATTGCTGCCAGCCCCATACTCTTGCACCATGAGCCCTCACGCCCGGAACATTCTGCCCCAAGCTTTTTCCAGAGCCTTCAAAGCGGCAACTTCAAACCTTGGAGAACAGCTGGCAACACACCTAGTCCTCATATCATGTTCAGATCATATCGTCTACCAAGAATGATCCTTTGCTCATCCTTTTCGTACGTTGTAAGTCCTTAAGGAAAAGATCTGGCATCACACGTTCTACAACGAGCTGCGCGTCTCCCCCGAGCAGCATCCAGTGCTGTTGACGGAGGCACCAATGAACCCCAAGGCCATTGGGTTTCGAGGGTGAGGATGTTCATGGTGTTTAGGGGCGCCGGGTAAGGGGTACGGTGCGGCTTCCCTCTTAGGATTTAGGATGCAGGATGTGGTGTTCCTTCATCTTGTAGGTCATTTGCACGTTTATCTTTGTTAGCGTTAAGGGTGTGAGGTCTCTGGCCCTGTAAAGCCATCATGTGGCGCGAGGCCAACCGGGAGCGCATGACGCAGGTGATGTTCGAGACCTTCAACGCCCCTTGCCTCCCGTAGATTACTGGGGTAGCTCCCTTACAAACTTCTAATCTAGCACCAGTATTTCCTCCCCGACTGCCCCTTTAATCCAGTAGTGTTTGCGCGGCAATGAGACGCTCAGAGAGATGTCTGCCGAGGTGCCAGCCATGTACGTAGCCATCCAGGCTGTCCTGTCCCTTTACTCCTCCGGCCGCACCACGGGCATCGTCATGGACCGATGCTCTCTGCCGGAAGGGCTGAGCAGTGTTGAGTTGTGGCTATCTCCTTTGAAAGTGACGGGATTGTAACTTGTTTGAATCTTTGGGTTTCAGGTGTGTGGATCTCAAGGCCTTACCATGTTCAGCGCTGAGTACTTTCAATGATGCCATCCTGGCAAGCTCATCTTCGAAGGCTTAAGATCACATTACCCCTTTTGTCACCCCTTCCTTTCATGGCGAATGTTGCCTTGCAGGCTTCTAGGTGGGCTCCCCAAGTCTATGCAGGCGTGCCCTCACTCATGGTGCATGTTAGGGCCGTGTATGAGGAGTTACTCCGTTCACATCACAGGTCCCTGCAGGGTTCAACATTTCTGTCTGGGAAGGCTTGCGGATCTAGGATTGGGGGTTCAGGGTCTGGAGTATGTTGCCGCGAAGTCGAGCCTATGTTAACTTCAAGCAGGACCCTTATGCTCTCTTCCCATTCCCAAAGTTTCTTTGGGGCCCTGAACCCTTAACCCTAAACCTTAAACCCTTGAACTTTAGACCCTTGAACTTGAGACCCTAAACCCTAAATAACTACCTCCCCATCTCCATATTCGGCTCAAAGCCATCTGGAGCTTGTGCCGCAAGCTCTTTACCTGCAGAGATGGCCAGCTGTAGCTTCGTCTCTGCCTGCCTGGCAGGGCTCAGCAGCCTCGTCTTGGTGGTTTTGGTGGTATCTGGACCATTCGGTAGTTTCCCAAAATAAGGGGACCCCAATATAGACCCCAATATACTATAATCCTTATTATGGGGACCCCAAAATGGTACCCCTAATTTTGGGAAACCCCCATTTCTGATGGGATGTGTCCCTTAGTCTCAGCCTGATTTAAGTCATGTGGCATAGCTTTATCAACTGCTTCAAGATCAGCCCCTAAAAGCATGATTAAGCATGTGGAATAGCCGGAGATGCATCCTAGACTTACCAATGCTTCAGGGGAGAGGGAGAGTGGATATTTGCTCCCCCGCACTTAACTTGCTTTTGGTTAGCTAGGAATGAAGGAATGGATCCTTATAGTAGTCCCTACATAACCCCTATAGTAGTTGCCATTTTCCGTTCCATTCCTTCATTCCGAGCTAACCAAAACTAAGTTAATCACCAGTGAGTAGATTCCAGGGTATGGCTCACTCACACCCTGAACCCCGCCCCTAGCGCTTGACAGCACCACTCAAACAAAATGAATGTCCAGAGACTGGTTGAACGCCCAGGCCTGCACTTACCCCAACCCCTCCCCCACAAACAGCGCTACACCCTAAACTCTAAATCCTGAATGCTAAATCCCAAACCCTAAGCCCTTAACCCCAAACCCTAAACCCCTAAACCCTAAACCCTCAGACCTAATCGCCTTACAACGCCCCAGGTATGGCTGATGCTGCATGAGTCTGGGTTGCTGTTAAGGAACTTACTTTATTTGATTGCGGAAACCATCTTGATTGCTCTATATACCCACTATGGTAACTTAAACGCTAAATCCTATCTACCCCATATATATACCCTGTATATATACACATACCCAATATGGTAACTTAAGTCCTAAACCCTACATACCCTATATGTATTTATACATACATACACAGATACATACA